GGATCGGTCACCCGTGGGGGCGGGGAGGAGGCGCGACGCGGCCTCCGGGTTGCTGCCTTCCCCGGGGGCCGGTCCCACTGACATCCTGGGCCGCCCCTCTCCCTGTCTCCGGGTGCTCGTCGCAGCTGTCAGGCCCCGCGGGCTGCCGCCGCTGTCACTCGCGTGCAGGTTACCCCGTGACTCCCTTTCTCTTTACTTGCTCAAGCCCCAGCTCACGGGAAACCTGTCTTCTGACCTCACTTCCCCCGCTCCACTTCTGCCTTGCTCGGATTCTCTGAAATCTGACCCTCTCTAGGGGCACTGTGACAAGCAGGAGGGAAGAAGCAACCTTACTCCGGAGCTGCTCCCGTCCCGCCCATGCCCCACCCGCGGCAGGGGCCAGGGTTCTCTGACGGTCTGAGCGCGACTCGTCCCTGTGCCCTTGGGCTACTCATTTCGATAACATGGCTCTTTTTCTGTCTAACAGCATCGGCTGCAAAAACTTCCTTCTGCAGGTGCCTTGCCACCCAGATATGTGAGGAAAAGGGGAAACGAAAGCTCTAGAACCCAGACTCCAATGGGCATGGGATCTTCCTGGAACCAGGAGAAACCAGGTTAGGGCTGCCACTTAAGTGGCCCAAGTGCTGGCTCTGCGTGCTGAAGACAGGTACCCACCCCCTTCTTTGCTGAGATTTTTGCCACCATTTCCACAGGTTTTCTGTCAGTGGTCTGGAAAGGCTCACAGCTGGCCCAGCGTGTTCTGCAGAAAGAGTCGTTCCATCAAGAGTCTGCTACTGGGGTTGGTGGAGAAATGGGTTTTAGACAGGTGTCTAGATATTTAGCTAGGGGTAAAGCCCTGGGGGAGGATTTGCCAAGGGAGTTAGACAAGCAGAAAGACTTGGAGTGAAGAGGGGAAATTGGTGCCTCATGTGTTTAAAATGAAGAGAATACAGGGGCTGGAATTCAGAGATCTAAAATGTAAGTTTCCTTTTATTGCTTTATCGGGAAATTTCCTTTCTCATGAGAAATCTCTAAAAAGGAAACCTCCTAAGCTGGGAATCCGTCCAGGATGTTCCCATGAGACCTTGAGCCAGCTATGGACTTCTGAAAGAGGAATTTGTTATTCCTGTGCATTGGGCTTAGGCTTCCTACCAACTTCTTTTGTCAAAGACAAACAGGCAAGAAAATAAATGACTTGACATCTGTCATTACCTATCCTGGCCTTCTGGGTTCTTGCAAATGTTATTGAATGTATGTAACTGAGCCAGGATAGTTATCAAGGTTATGACCCGTTCTTTTAAGCCTTTCATTGGTTCTGATTGCTTAGGGATTGAATTAGAATCACAAAAATATTACCAAGCAGTAAGGGATTCCGCAGTCTTTTAACAGATTGTTTATCTGCCATACGGCAGGGAGGTACCTATCACAACATAAGTGGGATCTGTCTTGCTCTTAAGACGTCCAAAGTAGGCTGATGTGGAAAAATAGCTTGAGCCCAGGCGTTTGAGACCAGCTCGGCAACATAGTGAGTCTTCATCTCTACAAAACAAACAAACAAACAAAAACCCCACGAAAATTAGCTGGGCATGGTGGCATGGTCTATAGTCCCAGCTTTCAGGAGGCAGAAGTGGGAGGATCGCTTGAGCCCAGGAAGTTGAGGCTACAGTGAACTGGGATCGCACTACTGCTCTCCATCCTGGATGACAGTGAGACCCTGTCACAAAAACAAACAAAAAAATATATCTAAAGAAAAGAAGAATCCACAACCTGGTCTTGTGCACTGAAGGATTATTAAGAATTTAAAAAATCTAACCTAAATCTCTTTTCTTGCCATCAAAATTCATTTCTCCTGTTTTATTTATATAGTGATAGAAGATACCTTTCCTTTTATTTACTGGTAGCATCATTCATTAGCCTTCTCTAGACAAGAAAAAAAAACATCAAATTTTTTTTAACTGTTTTTCCCATCCCTTTCTTGACTTTCATTTCTTCTAACAAACATATGCTGACTTTTTCTTTAAAATGGAATATATTTTTCTAATGAGATCTGACTGGTGCTTGCCAAACAAACAGGTTTGTTCCTCTGTCTCAAAACTCTGGGCTGGTAATTTAGCCCAGAGTCATGTTAGCAGCACTGCTTCCCCTTTTTCCAGCTCTGGTTCAAATCTTTCTGTGCTTTTTTACTTTTTCTGATTAAGCATCAGCTTTTTGCCAAACAACAATTTCTTTTTATCTGTTAGGGTATCTTTGGAGTCTTACACCTGCTTTCCAAATTATTGGTCTTTCTACCATATTTACTAACAGTTCTCATTTTTCTACATGAGAGTGATCAATCATGTGCCTCTTTGTTGAGGCTTGTCTCATGTGAGATACCATTTGGTTCAGCCTCATAAAAGACATGTGTACTCATGACATACATACACCCCTTGGTTGCAACTTCTACCTGTAGTAATCATTTCATTCTGAACTGATGAGACTACGATTTGTGGCAGAAAATCTTACATGTGATTACATTAATTTTTGTCGGATACAGGTCTGTGTGTATTCCTTCCGGCATATTTCTAAATTGCTTACTTTCCTGTACTTTCAATGGTTGAAATTAAATGAATGACTTTTGAATTTACAGGATTATTATTTTTTTAAATGATCTTCTCCCAGCCTTCAGGGATGTTCTACTTCTACCACAAGGTATACAAAATAACAGTGAGTGACTCTGCTGCATAACACCTGCCAGTTTCTTAATTCCTCCAAAAACCTTGGCTCAGGCTCAGTTGATTGGAACACATCGAGCTTTTAAAGTTTATCTTCCATCAGTCTCTTCCTATGTAGTTTCATTGATTATTCCTGGGGCTGTTCTCCAGAATTCTCTTAGGAATATCACCCCTTTCCATTTCATGAGCATAGCTGATATGAATTTGTTTCAGGTCACAGTTTGGGTTTGCAGCAAAAATGCTTTCAGAACAGACAGCAGCCCTGGGGACAGGATGGGAGTCAATGAATATACAGCTGGATGGAGCAGAGACCCAGATGGAAAGGGGAAACCAGGAAGAAGGGCCATGGAGAATAGCGCCAGGGCCTCTGGAACACCTGTGCTGTGACCTTGAAGAGGAGCCACAGTCCCTTCAGGAGAAGGGTGAGAGCCTGCAGGGTGTGTGAATAGAATGAATAGAGTAATTTCTCCTAATTTCTGTTCAAAAAGTAGAGTTAAAAATCCCCAAATTGCCATGGACTGAACAGCATAACCAGTATCAGGATCAGTCCATTTGTCCTGGGCCCTGGTCACAGGTACAGAGTAGGTTTCTGAATTCTCCAAATCACGTACAGTGGGAGATGAGGGAAGTGACAGCAACACTGATGACTGTTGGGGAATACTCCCAGTAAGATGCACCATACTAGATGAAAATTACATTCAAGTAATATAAATTCAAGCCAAAGCTAGTCTAACAAAAAGCCATGTATTACCCTTTCAGAACATTTTGAGTAAAGGCCTCTTCTTATACATTTGTGCATTTGATTTTACCAATGGACATAGATATAGAAGATGTATCCCTTCTAAAATGAAGCCCAGGCTTTATTGGAAAAGGGTAGGTATTTTATCTTTAATTATTCCTCTCTCTCTCCAGCTCAATCTGCTCCCTGGGTTCCTGCAATTTCCCAGGAGGGGAGCACAGGAGACTGGGAGATGGCAGCTGCACTTCTTGCAGCTGGATCACAGGTGAGCTGTGCTTCCCTTGGCCTCTCCTAAGGTCTCAGCATTGCTTCCTTTCTATAGCTTTAGCATCATCCTATTGATTTGGTAGTTCACATGATAATCACTAATGGTATACTCATAACTGGATAGGTTCTGTCCCTTTTCAAGGGACTTATAAGACCCTTGGAAAAGTAAATGGAGGCACAACAAGAAGAGGGAATTCTTTGAGCTTAGGGTTTTTTACCTAAATTCCACAGGGGGATTTTAAGAACAATTAATTAGCTTTCTTAAAGAAACAGATCTGGAAATATTAGGAAAAGAGGACCTGAAGAAAATGTACGATAACCTAAAGTGGACAGGATTGGGTAGATAATGGAGCATTTATGGAAAAGAAGAGAATGAAAGATGTAAATAGGGATAGAGCCAAAGAGGGATAATAGGTCTAGATTCAGAAGGCAATAGGAGAGCCAAGGAAAGATAGTAATAGTAGTAGTACTAATAGGAACATACTCCCAGAGTATTGACCATGCATGCTATTTTTTGAGTGCTTTATGTGTATTAACTCATTTGATTCTGAAAACAATTCAGTTATTCCATTTTACAGTGAAAAAAACTGGGCAGGGAGAGATTAAGGCACCCGTATAAAGTCATACTGCTAGTTACTGGCAAAGCTGAGAGTCATTTGGCTCCAGATTCTGAGCTCCTAACCACCCTACCCTTAAAGGATAAGGATACGACGTGGCAAGGGAGGCAAGAAATAATATTTTATCTATATCATTTTGTGCTGATAGAAAAGGAAAAGTCAAGTGGAGGAAGGAGGAGAAGGTATAAAGTTTCTGCAATAAAAAGAATAAGGCAGGTGAGAAGAGTAAATAGACATCTGTAGTTAAACAGAGGGAGTGGTAAGTTTGTGATGCCTCCAACTTTCATAGTCCCACCTGGGAAACTCCGCCAGTGGACATTACCCTCACTCACTCCATGACCATCTATCTTTACTCCTCTCCTCATCGCCCTTGTACCAAACAATGTGCCCTATCCAGGGACTTTTGGGCAATTATTTTCCTGGAAACTTTGTTGCTCTTTCTCCTTTACTACCTCAGCCTTTTATACTGAGATCACATTTTTCCTTTTAAAAAAAAAATAGCTGCTTACAGCAAATGCCACATTTTGTTTCAGGGGCTGGTAACCATCAAGGACGTGTCACTGTGCTTCTCTCAGGAGGAGTGGCGGAGCCTGGACCCATCTCAGACAGACTTTTATGGAGAATATGTCATGCAGGAAAACTGTGGGATAGTAGTCTCTCTGAGTAAGCATGACCTTCCCCAGCCACTGAAAGGATGTACTCTGGGAGGATGTCTGCTTCAGGGCTGTTGGATAGTGTCTATCTAGGATTTTTTCCATGGCAGAGAATCTGCCTAGTCTTCCACTAAAGAAAGAGCACTAAGGCTAATCCCAAGAGAATGGGAGTAAAGCATCATTTTTTTTTTTTAAGCAAAAGCAAATAATGCTGAATTGTGAAGCAGAAAACTTGAGGCTCTTCTTGATTGGTGATTGGGAGATTCTTACAAAGCAGAGAGAGGAACATCTGGAATTGGGTCCCTGTAAACTCAGGAACCATTTAGGGGAATATGGGGATGCGGGAGGTGGTACCATTTTAATAGGACTAAAGTGAAGTTATAACCAGAAAGACAGTTGAATTGGAAGTATTTGAGTGGAAGAGAACAGGCTCATTGGGAAGGAGAATGGGATTTTCTAGGCAAAGAGGAGAAACTGAACAGAAATTGAAGGGCATGGGGTGAAGAGGCTTGGATCTGGCCTTCTTTTATCTAGAGTTCCCAGGAATAATCTAGGAAACAGCTTTTTTTCTCCCAGAAGTATGGAATTACTGTTGGACTAATTTACATCTCGATTTTCCTTTCCCATGGCAGGATTTCCAATTCCCAAACTGGACATGCTTTCTCAACTAGAAGGAGGAGAAGAACAATGGGTCCCTGACCCCCATGACTTAGAAGAGAGGGACATTCTGAGGGTTACATATACAGGTGAGAACCTAGAATAGACTTTCAGTCACTGCCTTCACCTCACTTGGGGTGTCGCCATTACATGTTCCTTGGCCTCAAACAACTATAGAGTTGAAAGGTTTAGAAGTCTTTTTATTTCAAAAACAAGGCAGTGTAGCAGAATGGTTTAGAGGGCAGACTGTAGAGCCAAACTTTATGGATTTGAATTCCGGACCATACCTGTGAAACCTTAGAAAAGTAATTAACTTCTCTTTGGTTTCCTCATCTATAAATTGTTGTGAGAATTAAATACATTAACATATTAGAATGGCAGAACAGTGCCAAGCACATTATAAGCACTCAATAAATGTTAGTTGTTGTTGTTACTGTTGATGTTATTGTTGTTCAACCTCCCACCTGTTTCAGGAATGCCTTCCACAGTGTCTCTAGCATTGCTGGCAGGTCATTCAGCCAATAATGATTACAGCACACACTTTAACTCTCTCGGTCTATGCTATGGTGATTAATAGTAATAAGTAGTAAATACATAATGGTAATAAATAATAACAGTAGAATATACCTTTTACTAAGTGCTTACTATGTGCAGGTACTGTGCTATCTTATAAGAACCTTTAGAGAGGGGTGTTATTTTTCTCATTGTAAATCTAGCAAACCTCTCGCATGTCCCCTCTCAGGGGACATTAAGAGATTGATGGTGATTATACAGGACAAACTTATGCAAGTGCATATTTTTCAAAAATATATGTTTCCTTGAAACTTTCCATTCAAAAATTGCACAAAAAAGCAAATATAGAGATGGACTGTATACTGAGATATATGTAAAAAAAATCAGCTAGTGTTATGTAGAAAGAGAATGTGTGAAGTGCTCACACTTCTTTATAATGGAAGGTAGTGATAAAGAGCATCTGTATGAGAAAGGCAGCTATGAGTATCCCCTTTGTATCATATGGCATAACTTGAAAAGATCAATAAGCAAGTTACTGTAGCCTTTAAAAAAAGGCTTTCAAAGTTGAAGGCAGAGCGTTACCACACATTAGAAAAACATAAGATACAAAATTTTGACTTTTTAAAATCATAAATAAGTTCTTCAATGTCCAAAATCCCATTATAAGCCAAATATCATTACAATAAAATTATTGGTTCCCATGCTATACTATTTAATATGAAGTGATTCGTTTTTCAGTATTTCATTAAAAAGTATGGTCAAGTTGCTGGTAGGTGATCCACAGGAGGTCTCCAAGTGCAAAGGGTTAAGTGGTAAAGCTGAGATTCAGACTTGGATAATCTGTCTCCTTAACCTAGGCTTTTAAGCTCTACACCTGTTGTACTATTGTGTACAACATTAGAATATGTTCTCCCAATCTGTCTGGGGCATTTTTTCGAAGAACATCATACAACCTCACTGTGACTTAGGTCCTGGAGTACTTTCTTGTGACTCTCCTCTTGCGGTCGGTATTTTCCTTTCTCTGTAGGAGATGGAAGTGAACACGAAGGGGATACTCCTGAACTAGAAGCAGAACCTCCCAGAATGTTATCCAGTGTGTCTGAAGATACTGTTCTCTGGAACCCAGAGCACGATGAGAGCTGGGATTCCATGCCCAGGAGCTCTAGAGGAATGCTCCTGGGACCCCCTTTTCTTCAGGAAGACAGCTTCTCAAACCTTTTGTGTAGCACAGAGATGGATTCCCTGTTAAGACCTCACACATGCCCCCAATGTGGGAAACAGTTTGTGTGGGGCTCCCACCTTGCCAGACATCAGCAAACACACACGGGGGAGAGACCCTACAGCTGTCTCAAGTGTGAGAAAAGCTTTGGACGAAGACATCACCTCATCAGGCACCAGAAAACCCACCTACATGACAAGCCTAGCAGGTGCTCTGAGTGTGGCAAGAATTTCCGATGCAACTCCCATCTGGCCAGCCACCAGAGAGTGCATGCAGAAGGTAAATCCTGCAAGGGCCAAGAGGTTGAAGAGAGCCCTGGGTCAAGGAAACGGCAGCGTGCCGCACCTGTGCCAAAGTGTCACGTGTGCACTGAATGTGGGAAGAGCTTTGGCCGAAGACACCACCTTGTGAGACACTGGCTGACCCATACTGGGGAGAAGCCTTTCCAGTGCCCTCGCTGTGAGAAGAGCTTTGGCCGAAAACATCACCTGGACAGGCACCTGCTAACCCACCAGGGACAGAGTCCTCGGAGCAGCTGGGACAGAGGGACATCTGTCTTTTAAAATACGTTTCTGCTACATCTATGGTCAAGTCTGTCAGCTGGTGCTACCAGGAGTCACTGCCAGGGCTGCCCTTCTCCTGTACCCCTATGGCCAGATTCATGGGCCCTGTCCCCAACCCTAGAAATATAAGGTCCTAGCATTGGCTAGAGCATTTCTCACCAGTTCTGTGACACACCACTTAAAAACAGAGTTCTTTGAGCAAAACTTTTGGGAAACAATGCATACTTCCTGGGCTGATATTCAGCCTGAGCCCATTCTCAAGAATAGAGTGGTACCAGCAGTTTATGGCTGAAATCCATTCTGATTGGTTAGGGTCTGTGCCATACAAGTTGTTATAACTATAACTATTATATTTTCTCTCTATATATTGATTGAGAGAAAGACCATTTTAGCATATCAAAGGCTCTGAAAACTTCTGCAGTAGAGCTAACTGTTAATGCAGTGTTTCCTATATTTATCTGACCTCAGTAACATTTCTATTTCACATCCCACAGAACTGGTGACTCCATGAAATACACTCTGGTGAACACTGGGTTAGAAAGTAATGAGGAAACAGGAAAGAGATAGTGATCAGGCACTCAGAGCCCCCTTTTTGATTCATATGAAAGCCAGGGGCCAGACCTTGTTCCTGTGTGGGTCCATTTCCTTTACCCCAATCATCAGATTATACATCTACATCTCTCACCCCCACCTGCTGAAAAATAGAAAGGACAGCCTTTCCACCTTCTTATTCCTACTCCCTTCATCCTGTACATACATATAATCCAGCTGAGAGATCGTGCCGCAATGCTTAGAGATGGACCCAATACCCCTAAGTCACCCAGGCCCACACAGAAGAAAAAACTTTATCCCCTTGAACAGACCCCTCTCCTCTTGACTGTGTCTTTATGTGTCTGTGTCTGTGTGTGCAGGGTCTTTGAAGAGAGCATGCTAAGTGCAAACTGCAAGCTAGGTTTTCTAGGGACCGTGTTCTGGGGATGAGGGTAGTGGGGATTGTATGGGGTTTTTGTTTTATTTCAAGATAGGAAGTAATCTGAGTGATTAAGGGAGCCCTAGTGGAAAGGGTTAAGTGTTGGGATAAGCTGTGGGAGTTGAATACAAAGCTTTCCCCAGTACCACTGAGATCAAGACAATTGTGGATGCATATGTCTAGGTCTGAATTTCTGGGCCACAGATGGTTTTCACCTGGGAGGAGAAAGAGCAGTTGAGGTGAGCTGTTTCTTGTGATTTCAGTCAAGGTGCATATAAAAGCTTTGTGTTAAGTGGGGGTTTTTTTTGTTAAGTGCTGGGAAATTAGGACAGGAATCACAGTGTTTGCAAGTTGTCATCGCTCTTGTTTGCCTCATCAAAGGGGAAGAGTTATTCTTGAGAATCTCATTCTCCCAGAAACAGAACTTTAGGGGAAATGGCTGTGGCATAGCTTTTCAGCAGATTCCGGGAAATGAGCTTTCTGGTTGGTTTTCCTCCCAGTTCTGGGATGGTGACCACACTAAAACTCTTAACCCTAGGACTTGCATAAGTATTCTAGTGTTCTGTTAGTTGGTGAGTTGGTCATTGTTTCTCTATATTGATGATTGTGTTAATAACAATCTGATAATTTAAAAATTATCTTGTATGTAAGAGCAGTTTGGGGCTAGGGAGGAAAAGAGCAGAGTGGGATATTTTCTCTTTAATGTGTAGATTCTGGTTTTTCCTTGAGACACTTATTTATCAACCACAACTGGTGTAATGAACCAGAGAGGCAAGAGGAAGTGAGATGCAACAGTCTAGGGATTGTCCCATTTGCTTAGAGAAAACTGGGTGAATCATGGCTCCTTAAGAGTCCTGGACCCAAATGGAATTGAAAATAGGGTCATTGTGCTGACAGGGCTTCTTGGAGTATATATGACTTGAGCAGCCTGGCCCCTACCTCCCTTCTCTATTAGAGCAGCTGTCCTTCTTTGTCTTGAATGCACTTCTCTTGCTTATGTTCCTGTGAATAAAGCAAAATAGCAAGCCCTTTATGAGACAGGCCTTGTCATAGGTCCTCAGAGATAGGAACATTTTATGATCAGTAATAAGAGATGCACCAGGGAGTAGGAAAGTATTGGGTCCAGTGATAAATCTGGACTATGCCACTTTTACTGTCTCACTTTACTACATATCAGTTCTGTGTAAGCAGTGGTTCAGAACCTGTTTGGGATCACAGACTCATTGATGAATCTGATGGAAACCAGAAACCTACTTTTGAGAAACAGACATTTGCAGTTCACTCAGTTTTGCATACACATTTAGCAGGCTCAGAGCCCATCCATGGAATCCCTAAACTGGCTTCAAAGAAACTGACCCCAAATGGTCATTATATGTTTGTGTCAAGAATTACAAGGCAAGGATCACTAAATATTTTAAGGACTAAGATATCAGAGGCATCAGGGTGTAAGGATAGAATCTGGTCTTTAATGACTAAAAGGATATTGCTTATGTTCTTGTCTGTTTCTTAAGATCATCTGGCATGCAAATCCAGCTCCTCACAAACCTTGTTTTAAGGACTTGAGGGAAGTGATACTCCTTACTATCAGATCACGCCTCTTAATAACGACATGTTAACCTCCAGCCTTTTATCTGTTTTAGTAATTGTAGGGATAGAAAGTGAAGCCTCCCAAGTTAGGTGCAGTTGCAGCATCTAGCTGAAAGGCATCATGGAGTCTAAGGGCCTGCTGCAGAAGGGGCAATCCTTTGGATCATTTCTGGTGTACCATTGTCTTCTCTACCTCGGTCCAACACCACCTCCCTTGGACAAAAAAAATAAAACAAGCAACAGCCATCAGATGAGTGAATAGATTTGAATGATTTTTCCCACAGGGAATTAGCCTCAAATTTTCATGTTCTACCCAGCTTAAAAAGCATGTCTGTGTTCTCTCTGGGCAAAATGTAAAACAGGGATGTCCATCTTCAGGAACCTGTCACATTTTTCCATCTGTGGTGCCTCTAACCTATTCTAAGTGTCCCCTTTCCACCGCAATTTAGTATTTTTGCAAATAACCCCTAGAACAGGAGAATGTAACCCAAAGCATAAGCTTTTCCAAAGGCTATTTACACTTTAAAACTAGCTCTAATTGTAGAAGGACAAGTTTTTCCCTTGTTAAAGTGATGTTTTGCCTTCAGAGAGCTAAAGAGATGATAATTTGGGACAAAATTCTTCCCTTTCCAACTTTCCTGTAATAAAATCAATGTTTTGGGTTTCTATCAAGGGCAGGGTAAGCCCTCAGGCCTAGAGGGGCCACAGGCAGTTTCTTTCCATCTCTACTACAATGGGTACAGTAGCAAACTCCTCAGAAGCAAACTCTGAGTGGGGTTGGGTGGGGCTGGGTAATAACAGAAAAGTGAAATCTATTCCTTTAGATCCCTTAGAGAGCCTGAGCTGGCAAAATTCCCTTGTGTGCTATACCAGATTGTAGTTCTCAAAATGTGGTCTTTGGGCCAGCAGTATCAATATCACCTGGGAACTTGTTTGAAATGCAGATTCTTAGGTCCCACTCCAGACTTACTGAATGAGAAACTCTGGGGGTGGAATTCAACATGCAGTCTTTTAACATGCCCTCCAGGATATGTGATTTAAGCTACAGTTTGAGAACTACTGGCTAAGGGATTCATACTCCATTTCAGGCACTGGCACCTCATTCTCTTTAAATGGATCTTCATACTTCTGTTTTCAGGCTTATTTTCTGCAACCCCACTATCCTAGACTTCAATTTCGTTCCCCTTGGTTCCAAGGTCTTCACTCAGTGAAAGAACTGCAGGTTAGTCACCAATTTCAGAAACTGTGGTGGGGCAACTACCAAGCTCCAGTGATTGATTAGGGCTGGGGCTTCCAATATAGGCACTGAAGATACTTGGGTCCAGCAATCTGGAAGGACAGAAAGGAGCAAAAACTCAAAACAGGAAAACCCAATATAAAACAGAAACACTGATATCCAAAGAAATGATCCTCTTTACCTGGTCCTTTTTCTTGGCCTTCTAGTAAGTTGCTCTGGAGACAGGTGGAGTGGGCATTCAGCACAGAGATAGTTAGGCCTACTGTGCCAAGCCTTTAAGCTCCCAGACTTTCCAACCTCATGAATGGGCTAGAGACCAATTAGGGGCCATGGAAGGATTTCTAACCATGATTTGGCATACCCTATGGATAAGGGCAGCAGGAGTACAGCGAGCCCCCAGGGCACAAGAGGGAACTAGGCTTTTCTAGTAAGATGTGACAAGCAAGATTTGAGTACAGATTCTGTTCATTAGTTAGAGGTTGTAACCAATTAAGCCATGATGCCAAAAATGCATTCTCCTGCTTTGAAGATTCTGTCCAATTCAGGCTGTGGGCAGGAATCTATCTTGAAGTCCCTAGCCCTGCCACCTCCTTCAGTTCCTCTCCCAGGCTTACCTAGAGGACAAACTAAATGGACAGTCACAAACCTGCCCTAAGGGGCTCTCCAAGGTCAAAAGATTAGGATGGACCATAAAGCTGAGGCTTTCTTCAATTCCTGGCCTCAGGCTTTCTCCCTCTTCCCACCGCCTCTATTTTCCCAGTAGGCAGTGCTCTTGCTCTATTCTCAGCTCCCACTTCTCTTTCAGACTTTTTGGTTTGAGTTTTGCGCAAACAGTGCCATGCCTTCCCAAGGGTGTTTGTTCTCCCCAAACCCCAACTTTCTTTCTTTATAGTTTATCTCTTCGAGCTTCTGGCCAGTTCTGTTTCATCATGAACCCTCTTACTACCTCTACCTACTGTCCAGGTGTGTTTCTGTCAGCTTTAAGCCTACTACTAAGCAAAGAGTCAACTCATACTTCTCACCATCTTCCTCCAAATTCTTGGCTTAGCTATAACAACTCAGCTACCACCTCCCCACTCTCCCACAGTACATCATTTCATGCCCTAACGAGTACTGCCTTAATCTAGGCCCTTAACTCCATTGCTTAGAGGCTCTTCTTTCCTTGCTGTAACTTCCAAAGTCACTTTCCACTTTTCGCCATTCTAATTTACTTCCTTCCAGTCTCCTGTGACTCCTTAGATGCAAACTCTCAATTCTGCAAGCAATTTTTATGTGCTTACTATGTGCCAGGTGCTGGTGGTTCTAAGCCTGGGAGATCCAGTGTCACCCTGGTCCCTGTCCTTAGTGTGTTCTTCAGCCAAGCCCTCCCCTGTGTGTCCTCTTTTAGGAAGCTTTGAGGGTGTGTATGCCCACTTGACACCCTGCCCAACTGCTCAGTGCCTGCAAGATTAGCTATTATCTTACATGATTCCCTCCGACAGACCGTGAACTTCCTTGATTACCCAACATGGGATTTATGGTTCCTCACAGTTGAATGAAGGACGTGTTAACTCCCTCACTGACCTCTTCTCTCAATCCTCTCCATTTTCCTCTCCATTCCAGGCTCTTCTCTCCTGATAAAAAGGCTGCAACAGAGTTGGGCAGCAGGGGAGTCGCGGAGTCTCAAACGACTCCCTTCATCTCACCAACCGAAACAAGTCTCCAGGCGCTACAGGTTGGGCCTCGCCACTTCCCTCCTGGCGTCCCGGCCCCCAAACGTCGCTCCCGAGTCAGCCAGTGACTCGATCCAGCCCGGGGACGCCGCCGAGTTGGGCTGGCGGTCCACTCCCGGGGACGCTTCAGCGGAGGAGCGCCGAGCAGGGCGCGGACGAGGGAGAGCGCCCTGGGCTTGAGCTCAAAGAGGCATCGGGTTCAGGGCCTTGCAAACGCCGAGCCTGCTCTTGGGAGGCCTGAGAGTGCTGAGCCCGCGTCTGGAGCCTCTGGTGGCGTGGTGGAGACTGTGATTCGAGCCCCTAGGCAAGTTCGCAAATATTGGGTATTTCCGGTAGCCAGAGGGAGGCGCGTACCGACAGGGTTAGGGCAGAAACCGAATTTGCCAGACGCATTCGCGGAGGGTATTGAGGGGATAGAAAAAGTTGGCAGGGTTGTGGGAGAGGTGGAAACTGCCTGCCATTAACCCAGTGACAGTACCTTTCCATCGCCCCCACCCAGTAGAACAAACTTAAAGGCTTGGCCCTTCCTTCTGCGGGAGTTTCCTTCAAGAGCTCAAGTCTACTGCTTAGGGGGTGATGCTCAGATGCCTCACAGTTTGCCTTACACCAGCCAGGCTGTTTTGTCGCCTCTTGGTTTCATATGTTTGCTTATTTTCTTGGTTTCATATGTTTGCTTATTTTCTTGTGTTTACTGTTACTTCCCCCCAGCCACTTGGAGTCTGGTCTTTTCCATCACCAAAACGGGAATGAGGTAAGAGAATTGAGAAAAGGAAAGGAAAAGCACAGCTGACTGTTCAGGAGGCGCCTGTGTTCTTAGCCAGCTCTCATGGACTATTGACATCCCTACATTCTTTCTTTCTACCCTCTCACTAATGCCTTTCCCAACCTCATCCAAGTCCTGAGGTGAACACCCCCTCCTCCAGCTTCAGTTCCAAATTATTTGACTTTTTAAAAAAGTTATTTCCTGACATGGTGCCCCTATATTAATTTCCTAATCTGTTTTCCTGTCCATCCTAGACTCTTAAGTTTTTGCTGGAAAACACTCCAGCCCAATCAGACAACCAACAGAGGAGGAAGAACAGAAATCTGACAAATAGAGATGTTTGCATGTTCTAAAAAAACAGGTTGAAAACTTGAGAACACCCCCTTCCTGTGAAACCCTTAAATTGTTAAAACAGTGTAGAAATGGATCCTAAACGTCTGACCCTAGCCTACATGTTTTTTTAATGGTTTGTGGAGTTCACAAGAAAATGGTGAGGCCCCACTCAATATCTAGAACAGTATGGAGTGGAGACAGCACTAGATTTGCAGTTAAGTCAGTTTCTACACTGTTCATTTTCTAAACATTGGCCTTTTCACCTAAGACCTATCTTAAAGATTGAGTTGAGGGTAAAATGAATTACTGCCTGAAAAATACAAACCAACTTATAAATGGAAAAGCTATAATTGACAACGATGTGGAAATTTATACTCTTAATTTTGAACAAGCTATAATTTATATGGTTCTGAAAGCAAATACAAAAAAAGCTATAGTGAAGAGTCTCATTTCGGTCCCCTACAATTCCCGTCAACATCTCCTCACAATAAACTTATTTTTTTTTTGTATATCCTTCTAGAGAGTTTCTTTAAACAATTACAGAGAGACATTTAGATTTTCCTTCATTTTACATAAAAGGTAGTATAGTATACTCAGTGTCTTGAAATTTTTTTTTTTACTAAATGTATCTCAGGGAGCTTGTCATGACAACCGAGAATACTCTTTTTATAGCCGCCTACTATTTCACTGGAAGCTTTACAGTTTAACCTATCTCCTAATGACATTTTGGTTTTTTTCTGTGTGCGTGTGTGTGTGCGTGTGCGCGCACGTGCACGCAATGCTGCTACCTTGGACATAAGTCGTCTCACAGATGTATAAATATCTAAAAGATAAATTCCTACAAGTGGATCTGCTGGATCAAAAGATATTTGCATTTGTGGTTTTTCCTTTGTTTTGTTTGTTTAAGACAGAGTCTCACTCTGCTTCCCAGGCTGGAGTACAGTGGCATGATCATGGCTCACTGCAGCCTCAAATTCCTGGGGTCAGCAATACTCTTACTGTAGCCTCCCCAGTAGCTGGGACTATAGCTGTGCACACCACCAAGCCCAGCTAATTTTTTTTTTTTTTTTTGCAGCAATGGTGGTCTCACTATGTTGCCTAGGCTGAACTCAAACTCCTGGATTCAAGCAATCCTTGAACCTTGGCCTTCAAAAGTGCTGGATTACAGATGTGAGCCACTATACCTGGGTGCATTTGTAGTTTTGATAGCCAATTCCCTCCATTAGGATTTGGGACAATTTATGCTCCTACCAGCATTGTATGAGAGCACCTCTTTCCCCACACCTTTACTCATGGATTAATTTCACAAACATTTGGATTTTTGTCAACTGATTAAAAATACTATCTTTTTAGTATTAATGTTTAGTATAGTTTTAATGTATATTTCTCTATAAGTTAGACCTTTAAAATTTTTAAAGACTATTTGTATTTCTGTTTGTTTTTTAAAAACAACCTTTGTATATTTGATGCTACAGGTCATCTAAGGTTCATTACAACTCTTAAGTCCAACAGTGATTGGAACAGCATTCACCAGGCAGTTGAGGTCAAAGAAAAGCAAGGAATTGAGGTCAAACACATTCCATTTGCCCTGATGAAAGTTAAATATCCAAATATGCCACTCTAATGTGAGGTCATAAACATGGAGACTATGCTCTATCCATTTTAATATTTCTATCACAGGGCCCAGCATCTTGCAAACATTAGCTATTCTTGGGAATTCCTCTGGCAGAATATTCAGCTATCAGTATGACATGGGTAATCTGGATAGCTTGCCAATGAGGTAAGGTCATCTCTTATGTTTTATTGGAGTATAGCCACACGAAAACTTATCAATGAGAAATAATCTGAAATGACCATTGTTAGCTAGGTAAGGTCACAGTCTGGGTCTCTCTTGTTTGCCACTGTTCCTGCATATGGCAGACACTTAATAAATTTGATACGTTTTGCTGAATGAATAAAAGTTTGAAATGAATAAACCATCATAATACAAACAGGAATGTGATGATTCCTAGGCTATCTAGAAAATAAATTGTTGCCAGTGTCATTCCCATCGTATGTCAGAGGAAGAAAGTTTCTTAATTCTAGACCACCTGGTTCTTGAGGTAAAAGCATCCCAAGACTATAAAGGGGCAATAAATCTGGCTATCATAAGGGTATTTGATTAACTTTGTTCTAGTTAAGTTCAATAGACAATGTTTGATTTTCTCACTGCCTATTTCAGATGACTATTCTCTGATTCTGTTTTGCTTCATTCTGCTAGTTGCTTTCTAAGTGCTTAGCAAACTTAATTACAGCATAGGGAAATTTCAAGTTCAAATCATCTGTGTATGAGATACACTATAAGCATTTTGCTGTTACTAGGCTTTGCATAGGCTTAAAGCAGTGATTCACAATTGAGGGTGTAAGAGGGTGACTATTAGCATCACTTAAGTTTTGTTTGTTTTAAAGACACATACCCCGTTCCCCCTTGTAGGAGCTATCAGGCTCCTGGAGGAAAAACTTGGTCAGGTATACCTGGAAAAACATCCCAGATTCTAATCTTCCTGCTGCCATTCTTTTCAAGAACAAAAAGCACTTTGTTTGTTTTAAAGACACATACCCCGTTCCCCCTTGTAGGAGCTATCAGGCTCCTGGAGGAAAAACTTGGTCAGGTATACCTGGAAAAACATCCCAGATTCTAATCTTCCTGCTGCCATTCTTTTCAAGAACAAAAAGCACTTTGTTTGTTTTAAAGACACATACCCCGTTCCCCCTTGTAGGAGCTATCAGGCTCCTGGAGGAAAAACTTGGTCAGGTATACCTGGAAAAACATCCCAGATTCTAATCTTCCTGCTGCCATTCTTTTCAAGAACAAAAAGCACTCCTTGGGTGCTTCCATGTCCCCCACTCCTTTGATTTCAGGTGGAAGCAGCTTGTCCTTTCCCTGAATCCACTGCTTTTATATTTTACTCTCCTATGAACCATTTCTGTATCCTGTCAGCCCATGGCCTGAGAACCACTCCCATGCTGTTCTTAACCCTGCATTCAGAACGAATTTGCTCCATACTTGGTACATAGTGCTCAATACATTTGTTGTTGTTTAAGAAAAGCAAAAGACCCAGATGTTCATTATCTAGCCTTCATTTCCTTGTATTTCTGATATGTAAATCTTAATATTCTTTCCTAGGTAGGAGTTGTTACTTTCCCAGTTGATAATTCCCTTATTGTCGAATTTTGTCAAGCAAAGCATATGCCATAATGTTTAAGAGCCTCTTATCATTTTACTGACACTTAAAATCACCTAAAGAATCATCTTAGCCCAATCCCAAAATTTTATAGAGAAGAAAACCGAGACCATGAAAGGTCTTGAAATAAAAAACTCGGCAAAGGTCAGGGTAGCAGAACTCTGACTAGAATTCTGGCCTCCCTAAATACTGATGTATAAGTTTTCTGCTACAGTACATTACCACCCATCAGGAATTATTTATACACCTATTTAACTCTCAGTGATTAACACTTACCCTGTGTGGAGCCATGTGCTAGATGCTTTTATGCATTCTCTCATTGAATCAAGAATTAACAAGTAAGAAAGAATATTTTTAAAATTAAAATAAGCTGTCAATTCAGGGCAAAAACTACAAATTCATTATAATCAATTGGGAAGAAGGGACTTTGTACTAAAAGGAGTTTCGGGTAAGAACGCTTTGTATCAGCAGGGCCACTCAACTTAGCTGTCTGCTCTCTTTTCCCAACATGCCCTCCTTCTCAAAACTCAAACTGAATGTGCCAGAGTGTCTAACATGACTCTGACACTTCTGTCTAGCCCCTTAAGTTGCTGGTTTTCCTCTACGTGTTTTCTTTCCTTTTAAAAGACCTTTCTCTGGGTCCTGCAGCAAGACAGAATCTCAGCTCCTTGTTCTCTAGTCACCCCACCTTAACACCCCCCCTTCCCCTCCGAGTTCAGCAAAGAGGAAGCGGACACAGGTGGTGGGAAGGTCCTTTAAATAGTTTTGTCCATTTCAATGAGTTTGAGAGCTGTTTTCGCTGGAGCCTGTGGGGGAAGAGGCATCTGCACTTGGAGGAAAGGAAGCGGCCCCCACACTACGGGTTCCAAGCTGCACTCCGAGGACCTTCAGACTTTGTGGAAGCCTTTGTGCGAGTCTTTCCCTGCCCACTACAATTCCGGTCGCTTCTGACCGGGGTTGGCTTCTGGCTGGTCCGTTTCACCGGTTTCTTGGGCTCGTGCATCTCCTCCTTGGACTTCGAGGAGCTTGGCCTCTGCTCCCCCGACCTAGGCCGGGCATCGACCTTCGTGGTGAGTCCTCTTCCCTTGTCCACCACCTTGGCTCTCGCTTCCTCCTTGGCCCTGGCACTCACCACGTCCCTGGCTCTCGGCCTCACCTTCCTCGCCCTGGCCCTGGCGCTGGCCCTGACGCACGCTCTCCATGCTTTTCTGGCATTCTTCGCGGCCTTGCGCCGCGTGCGACGCCTCCGCGGGCGCCGGGGCCTTGGTGGGGTCCTCATCTGAAGGCGGACTGCCTCCTCCAACTGTGGGCGTCCCAGCTTTCTCTTCGGCTTCGGAATCTTCCAGACCCGGAAGTAGCCGGAGGCGTCGTGGCCGCTTACCCGAAGGAGCGTGCCCTTGGCCTCGTGCCCGGGCGTTTCGCCTCCAGGGCGGCTGCTCTTCCTGCGCACTTCGTAGCCGGCGTTTCCAAGCTCCCGCTTGAGAGCCGCCAGGGTCAGCCCTTTGTGCGCCGTGATGGCTCCCAGCACCAGCTGGGACACTTTGAGCACCGAGCGCGGGCCCCGCCTCAGTAGTGCCCCGAGGGATTTCCCCGCAGGCCGCTGGGTTTTGACTTCGGCACCTTGGGATACGCCCATGGGCTCGGCCGCCTCCGCCATGGCCGGGCTCCCGCCTCCGCGGGGCCACCGGCTTTGGGTCTCACCCGCGAGGGCACAATCCGCTGCTGCAGCGGAGTGGTCAACGTCACAAAGGCGGGCCCAGCAGAGATGGTCAGGTCCTAATTATACGGTTGGCAGACCCCACCCAGGTAGGGAGTCCTTTTTCTAGTAGCCAATCAAATGCCCACTACTTGCCTCTAGGCCTGAACCAATAGAAGTCTTTAGCGCCTGGGAACCCTAACAATCGCCGATGCACGCTCAAGGGGTTTTTTCCCAGGTCACTCTTACTTTGATGTCTCCTGCTTTCTGAGGTCCGCTGTTTGTCTCTTTGTGTGTCCTGCACACTATCTACCCACATTTTTTTAAGGTGAGAGAAGCTGCTCCCAAACATGCACAACAAGCAGTACAAAGCCTGTAGAAAGTTAATGTGGTACTCCACCATACACAACCTGGCCTAGACTCTCCCACCGTCGGTTCCCACCAGCTATCTGCAGTCATGCCCACCTCACTCTGCACGGTGGATTTTGCGCAAGAGCATGAAGTAAAAGAATCAACCAGTTGTGGTCCCTCTACCCTAAACACTGAGTCCCACACCAGGGAAGTTTAGACGCGTCATTCAATTGGATTGGAACAATCAAGATTTCAAATCTCCTAAGGAAACTGGTCTAATCATTATTCTTTAAACATGTGCTTTTTTTTGTCTTCCATCCCTCTTCTTGGATTGCCTATCCTCTTCCTCTGCCTGGACAAAGCCTGCTGATCTTTTAAGGCACTACTAAATTCTCTTTCTTCGCTGAAGCCACTCCAAACTCTTTTAAATTTCTTATCTTTTAACTACCACAACTAACACAATTACATCTGCAATGTTGTACAACTTTTTCTTTATTTTAAATTAATTTAGTGTTAGATGGCACACTGTAGCACAGTATTTTTAAAAAAGAAAGAAAAAACTTGGACTTGGAGCTATAAGACATGGTTGGTATCCCAGCCCTTTAAGAGACATATTGTTGCCACACAGAAGGGCTTGTTTGGGGATGCACTGGCAGCCAATACAATGACACCAGGTTTTTGAGAAAAGCAAAGCTTTTTATTGCAGATCAACAGGGAGACAGGAGGCCATCTCAAATCTGTCTCCCTGCACTGGCTTTAAGGCTGTAATTTTATTTTATTTTCTCTTTGCTTTTTAAAATTATTGTGGTAAAATACACATGACATAAAATTTACCATTACTGTAGTAATATTAGGTACATGCACAATGCTGTGCAATCTAGTTCCAGAATATTTTCATCACCCCAAAAGGAAATCCGGTACCCACTAGCAGCTACTACCCAATCTTCCCAGCCTCTGGCAACCATTGATCTGCTTTTTATCTTTCTATGGATTTGCCTATTCTGGACACTTACTATAAATGGAGTCATATACTATGTAATCTGATGTGAACAGCTTCTTCCATTTTGCATAATGTTTTCAAGGTTTATCCCTGTTGTAGTTGTAGCATGTCTCAGCACTTATTCCTTGTATGGCCTTTTAATGGTCATCCCACATCTTGTTTATCTAGCTGTTGATAAATGATAGTCTCCACTTTTCAGCTCCTTGCTTTTTTAATCACCTGGGAGATTGTTAGAAATGCAGAATCTCAGGCTCTCCCTCTAGAAATGATAAATCAGAACATGCAGGGTCACAAACTTTTCCAGGTGTTTCAAGTTTGAGACGTGCTGCCCCAGCCAAGTGAGTCTCAGCCTCAGCTACACATGGAAATCACCTATCAGCTTGTTTTCCTTTATTAATGCTTATTCTATCTGTGTCTTCCGTTTGACTCAGAAGATGCTTAGTGAGCACCTAAGCAAGAATGAAGCTGACTACTCCCCTTCAAAATGCTTAGATTAGCAACCAAGGCCACCTACCCCTTTATTTGAAGGCTGCAGAGAGGTGGGGAGCTCTAATATCCTAGAACTGGATTTGTGATCAGAAACCCTGAATTTTAGCTCTGCTCTGCCCCTCACTTGGTGTATAACCTCCCTCAGCTTCTTTATGCTTTTGAAGAAAATAGGGATAATGATTTATCGCCTTCTGCATGGGAAGAAGACATCCACGACCACTCAACACCAGATCTACCTCCCTGGCTGCATCCACACACACCTACTCTGCTTCCTGCCTGTTACCATAGAGGGACTTTCTGTGTTCCCATCTTAAGCCTATCCCCCCACTGGTGTATTACATCCCCTCGTTTTGCCTACACAAGGTCATACAAGGTTATTGCTACACTGCTCCAGCAGTTCTCCCCTCTCTCTCCTACAACCAGGAAAGGTTAAATGAGTTGTACATGTAGGTAACAACAAGGCCTCAAAACTGTTCACTCTAGGATATTATAACATTTCTTATGATAAAATTTTAAAGGGATACCACCAGCAATTACTTATATATCAATGGGTACATCTTTGGCTTTGCATAAAAAGATTTAAAAAAAAATTCGAGACTAAACTCATGTATACTAGATGATTTATGGTTCTCAGTCTTTACTGTTGTATTAACATGACCCAAAACAAAAAATTACTTCTGATCTCATTGCCAGCCAGCTACCATCTTGTTCCTTTATTCTCCTTTTGTAGAAAAACATTTGAACTAGCTGTCAATAGTCACTGTCTCCATTTCTTCTTCTCCTGTTCTTATCTCCAGTCTGGCTTCTGCACCTATCTCTCAACTTCACCAAATCTGCTCTTGTCACAGTCATTGATGGCATTTGTATTGCTAAATCAACACTCCATTCTCAGTTCTCAATTTATGAGGAGCATTTAGTACATTGCTCATTGCTTCCTCTTCCTCAATTCACTTTCTTGGCTTCCAGGGTACCACACTGTCCTGGTTTTCAATGGCCTTCTCTAACTCCCTAACCTATTAATTTGGGGGGATTCTAAGGGCTCAGTCTCTGGTCCCCTCTCTACCTAAACTCACTGCCTTGATAATTTCATCCAACCTCTCAGTTTTTAAAAATGTCATATGTAGGCAGACATTCTGAACTTTTCTCCCCAAACTCCAGACTTATCTATTACTGCCTACTCCAGACTTATCTATTACTGTATCTTCACTTGAATGCTTGAAAGACATCATATCTGAAATGGAATCCTCTCTGCCACAGTTTGGCCCATCTCTGTCAATAGCAGCTCTGTCCTTCCAGTTGTTCAGGCTAAAATCTCAGGTTCATCCTGGACTCCTCTTTCCCTCAGTGTTGCTACTTTGGTGCAAACCATCATCATTTCTATCTCAGTTGCAGTGATCTCCTATTTGATTTCCCTTTCTCTCACCTTGCCACCTACAATCTATTCTCACCACAGTGGCCAACACAATTCCTTAAAAATCCAAGTCACAATTTTTTGCTCCTTAGTTCAAAACTCTGTACTGACTCTGTGATTCCAGTGTTGGAATCTGGTTCCTCAAATCTCAGGTCAAGTCTTCCTCTTTCTTGGTTGTTTCCTTGTTTGATATAACATATCCTTAAATAGTTTATTGAGGAAGAAAGCATGGGAAGCAAATTTTTTAGACCGTATATGTCTGAAAATGATGGTTTGGATGGCTATAAAATCTGTTTACCATCTTAATTTTTAAAAAAATTTATTACAATCCTGATTTGATCATTACACAGTGTGTGTGTGTATATATATCAGAATATCACTCTATATCCTATAAATATGTACTATTATTACATGTCAACTAAAAATAAAATTATTGCAAAACTGTTCAAACAAGTGTGAAAATAATAAATACAATAAACCTCTATGAATTCATCCTAAGCTACAACAATAATGAAAAGTTTTCTACATTTGATCTATTCTTTTTGTTTTCTTTTTTTCTGAAGCATTTTATTTTTATTTTAGATTCAAGGAGTGCATGTGCTGGTTTGTTACATAGGTACATTGTGTGATGGTGAGGTTTGGGCTTCTGCTGAGTCCCTGCAGGTGGTGAACATGGTACCTGACAGGAGGTTTTTCAACACTTACCCCCTCCCCCACACCCCCCTTAGTTGTTCCCATCCTTGTATCTATGTATACCCAGTGTTTGACACCCACTTATGTGTAAGAATGTGTGGTATTTGGTTTTCTGTTTCTGTGATAATTTGCTTAGAATGATGGGCTCTAGCTGCACCATGTTGCTGCAAATGACATGATTTCATTCTTTTGTATGGCTGTATAGTGTCCCGTGGTATACATGTACCACTTTTCTTCATCCAGTACACCATTGATGGGCACCTAGGTTGGTTCCATATTTTTTCTCCTGGGGATAGTGCTACAATAAACATATGAGTGCAAGTTTATTTTTGGTAGTATTATATCCTTTGGGGTATATATTCAGTAGTGGGATTGCTGTGTCAAACAGTAAGTCGATTTTTAATTCTTTGAGAAATCTCCAAAATGCTTTCCACAGAGGTAGAACTAGCTTACATTCCCACCAACGGTGTACAAGTATTCCCTTTTCTCCACAGTTAAGGGAGTAATTTTATTAGAAAAGTTTTCGGGGTTGGATTCTGAGATCAGTAGGTGACTGGTAGAAGGAAAAGGAATGTCTGGAAAGTCCTCAGGCATGGGCAGTTATCTCTTGATGCTATCTCATGGACTGCATGTATACATTTCAGGAGGAGTTAGTATGAAACATGTGGTGCAAGTTCAGGCTGTACATCAGCAAGTTCATTCTGCATAGACTCCAGTTAGCCATATGTGTTTTAACCAATTCGAACTAGTTTTGTTGTCTTAAAAGCAGAGAGAGTTTCAGCGTTTCAGCAAATTGTTTATTTTTTTTATGTGCCATCCTGAAAACTAAAGAATTTGTTAGTCATTTTTTAAAACTCTCTGGGGCACAGTTTCAACATGACATTGATTAATCCCTTAATATCGTTGCATCTGACTTCCTTGTCTTTAAAAGAAATGCTAATAATCCCTTCCTACCAACATCACAGAGTTATTGCAGAAGTTCAGAAGAGGTGACAGTAGGTGAGGGATACAATTTTTTTACTCTGAATTTTTATGTGTTGTCTTTACAACTAAATAAAGATTTCCCTGAACACTAGATAGTCTTTGAACTTCTATATCCTATGCTGCCCCTAACAACATCCTTTATTATACATAGCAGAAATTTGGTTGAGTCTACTTAAGTTCCTCCCTGGCAAGGAGACTGTTTCTACATTCAGAAAGAAACTCCCTAAAGATCAGGAGAAAAGAGCAGGGTAAATTTCAAAGAGTTGGAAATGAAAGGGACCAAGTAAGAACTAGCTTCTCAAGGACCTCTTATTCTAGACATAGTTTTATTGGAAATTATTCAAAGAGTACTTCAAATTGCAAAGCATATTATACTTTTCCAGAGGGCAAC